CGAAGGGTTTGGGGCTGTCAATTTCCCGTTTGTAATCTAAAATGACTGAAAATTGCAAATTTCGCAAGGCTATATTTTCCGCATTTTACAACATTTTGCAACGAAACTTTGGAATATTACTAATTGTGTGATGCTCTTTCAAGCTGTGATGAAATTTTTGTCTAGACTTGTTTAGTTCAAAATTTAGTCTATTACGCAAATGGTCAATTTAATTCAACATTGCTTCAATTTCAGCATGTTTCCCTCATTGATGTTAATTTGAAAATTGAACATGTCAAATTTAAGTGAAATACAACAATGAAGTATAGATATTGAAGTAATTTTCAATGTTGAAGTTTCAAAACATGTTGAAAACGCATCACTACATGAATTTGAGAAGTGAATATTGGCGGTTATATAGTCCCGCGTTAAATATCCGCCAATATTAATTAACACTTCGTTAAACTTCCCCCCTGGCATATTCCTATATGGCGGCTACGAACGAGCGGAATCAGTGATGAAAATCATGAAATAGTTGGTGCACTGAACATTATTGAGGATATAATATTGCGATTAGACAGCTAGCCTTGGTGACCCAGATTGTGTAGAGGGATTGACAATACGATTTCACGTTTTAAAGAGATATCTTGTAAATATTAGAATCGATGACATCTGCATGCACTTTGCCAGGAATTGCTGGGTAGGGTTTGCAAAAACCAATTTGAGCAGCGGCAGCGCTATTCCGCCATGATTAACTCTGCATTTCCAGCACAGGTTTATGCCGTGGAAAACCTTCGTAGGTCCTTCGTATGATATACATGATGGGCAATTTTTATAGCGAAGTAAGCAGTATGAAAGAAGTAAGCATGTAAGAAAGTTATGGCTTATGCACATCCTATACACGGCCAACACAATGGTTTTGCAGCACTGTATATGTTAAGCCCAAGTCGACAAACCTTGGGAAACTGATGTAAATGTAATGCATACATGTAGATCAATTTTTATTGAAACCACAACTTCCTTATGTGGGGATTGGTGTTAGTGAAAAAATCTATACACTGACCTCTGATCAAGTCGTTTGCCGACCTTAAACGAAAACAGGACTGCAAATTTCAGTTTTCAATAAAATTCAAGTTTTCATGAATTAATCCAAAATGCCAAGTTCCTGGAGTGGACGAATGACTGCATTGCCACCAACCGCCCTGCTGCCACTGACATGGTTTTTTATGTCTGCTCAGCATATTGCATTACTGAGCTAACCTTTTTCTTCAAACGGTAAAAAATGAAGTGCAGATGAAAAATGTAAATACCTAGATATCTTCGTTCTCATTCTATGCGGTAGTTCTGTATAAAACTTAATGTGCAGTCAATCATATTAAATCCTGATGATAAGACGCTATATATACATGTACAGTACGTGTTGCATATATAATCACTGTGTCGGCCGTGTAAGATGTGCATAACTTTCTTACATGACACACTCGTGCCAAATGACCTCATTCGCAGCTCCAAAGTTAGCGTACACCGGCCATCATACTGCTTACTTCGCTATAAAAAATTCAATTGCCCATCGTGTATATCATACGAAGGACCTACGAAGATTTTCCACGGCATAAACCTGTGCTGGAAATGCAGAGTTAATCATGGCGGAATAGCGCTGCCGCTGCTCAAATTGGTTTAAATTTTTGCAAACCCTATCCAGCAATTCCCGGCAAAGTGCATGCAGATGTCGTCCATTCTAATATTTACAAGATATCTCTTTAAAACGTGAAATCGTATTGCCAATCCCTCTACACAATCTGGGTCACCAAGGCTAGCTGTCTAATCGCGATATTATATCCTCAATAATGTTCAGTGCACCGCTGATTCCGCTCGTTCGTAGCTGTCATATAGGAATATGCCAGGGGGGAAGTTTAACGAAGTGTTAATTAATATTGGCGGATATTTAACGCGGTGCTATATAACCGCCAATATTCACTTCTCAAATTCATGTAGCGATGCGTTTTCAACATGTTTTGAAACTTCAACATTGAAAATTACTTCAATATCTATACTTCAATGTTGTATTTCACTTAAATTTGACATGTTCAATATTCAAATTAACATCAATGAGGGAAACATACTGAAATTGAAGCAATGCTGAATTAAAGTGGCATGCTGAATTTGATATGTTCAATGTCGAAATTCACTTCAATACGGAAACATGTTGCATTAATATCAACATGAATATTGGCGGAAATCTGACGCCATAGGATACATGTTGTATACAAAAACTGACTTGGGTTATTGCTGTGGGGCCTCACGCGAGACTTTTAAAAAAGCTTATTTTGCGGTAGTTCAGGCAACAGTCAGGTAGTCTGTTTCAGACCATGTGATGATA